TGATAAACTCGATTCTATTGGTTTAAATGTTGTGGCAGTTATTTCCGACCTTGGTTCAAGTTTACAAAAGTTTATCAATGGGCTTGGCATCACCGCAATCAAACCTTGGTTTTTGCGTAATGGCAGAAAGATCTTCTATTTGTACGACCCACCCCATATCATTAAAGCCATTAGAAACAATATGATAAATTATCAATTTCATTTTGACGGAAAGATTGCAAGCTGGAAAGATATCGAGGCCCTCTATGCGAATGATAGCAAGTTATCAATCCGCTTATGTCCCAAATTAACGGACAAGCATATGCATCCCAACGGATTTCAAAAAATGAAGGTGAAATATGCCACTTAAGTGTTAAGCCACACAGTATCTGCAGCAATTTCAACATATGTTAGTCTTGGTCAACTTCCATCTGCTGCATGTGGTACGGCAGAGCTCTTGATGAAACTCGATCAAACTTTCGACTGCCTAAACAGCTCATCCCTACACAGCCCGAAAGTCTTCAGAAGAGCAATGACACCAATTTCACCACATGGGGACTTTATGCAAGTTCTAAATGTTTGATTTCATCCCCACAATTAAAGTCATCAACAAAGAAAACAAGGATTCAACCAACCTCCTGAAATGCCTCAATGCACTGAGAGTTACTTTAAATGGAACACTAAAACTTTGGAGTCAACTGCAGAAAGAATCAGTTAAGTTTTTATTGACAAGAGGACTAAATCAGGATCCTCTTGAGAATTTTTTTGGGTCCATACGTCAGCAGGGAGGAAATGCCGATAATCCAACCCCAATCCAATTTTGTTGGGCTTTTCGAAAGTTGTTTTACAACCACTTCTTGGAGCAGTCATCCGGAAACTGTGCGGAAGACGTTGACAAAATCTTGGTGCAACTTCATCTTCCTCCAAGGAATAACTCATCAAAAGAAAATCAACCCCTGGCTCAAGATCAACCCTTTGTGGTAGACGAGTCCGACTATCGTGATTTTGCAATTGATCCAGATCAGAGTAATTCTGGTGCCAATGCCATCACCTATGTAACTGGTTACATGATTACCAAGTGTTTTCAAAAACATAAATGTGACACGTGTGTTTCAAACCTTGTCAATGATGAACTTGATAATGGTAATAAACTCTTTTGTTATTTCAAAGGATATGATTCGAGAAAAACATTTGGTGGCCTTACTGTTCCAACAGATAAGTTCACTCAATACATCACAGCAGTTGAAGAGAAGATTGTTCAGTTATCTCCAACAGTCATAAAGAAGAAAGGTGTTGCACAAGATTTGCTTTCACAGCTTCCTCTCTTCACAGTTCCATGTCCTGATTTTCCTGGTGAGTTTGTTCTAAGACTTTTCTTGAGAATGAGAATTTACTACATTTTGAAGTTTGGAAACAGAGAACTATCATCTCCGAAGATTAAAAACAGAAAATATTTTAAAGTTCAAAATTTGTAACATTGCCACTTGTCTGGTGCATTAGCCTGTGTACAGTCTGATATGAATGCATTTGTGTGTGAATATGTTGAAAACGGATGACTCATTTGAACATGAATAAACTATTTATTCTACTGGGGCCGGTTGTTCAAAGCTGGTTTTGCTTAACCCGTGGTTAACCTAAAATTCAAAGCAAACTTCCTGACAGCTTGTCTATAAATTTGGAAATATTTCTTCAGAGATCTTGTCTAGATCGATAGGAATTTATTTCTCTGAAGTTTTGAAATAAACGGACGTGCAGAAATACATTTAAATGGGTTAAATTTTAACCCAGGATTAGCGCTAACCCACCTTTGAACAACCGGCCCCTGCACATAAAATAATAGATTCCATGACATTTTATTAAAGATTAAAGTTGTCATGCATTTACTTTGCGAACTGCGTGAGCTCCGGTAATCAAGATCAATTTATTGGGGGTCATTCCAGAAAACACCCATACCACCCCCACAGAGGAAATATGAAGTTGACCTCACCCGCCTACCCCCTTCGGATGTCCTAATACATTTACTATTATCAGAAACAATTTTTTCTCCCCTCCCCCTCCTGATGGCAGAAATTTCCTGTTGGGAGAGTATGGATCTTTTCTGGAAGGACCCATTTTACAAGCCTAGTGTGGGTATTTTTGTTTTTGTAATATAAAGTGTATTGTTTGAGGTTGCATTCAGCAAGCCTGTCATTGGCATACTAGGTTAGGGGCATTACCCATGAAGTGCTGAAAGTTAACAAGTGTAGTTTGATTCTTAGTCTAATATAATTTGAGCTCTTGCAGGGTTTAGGGGTATGGTTTGTATATGGAATTAATACCCTATTATAACCGATTACCGAAGCTCTAGGTTTTTTAAACATGGGTTCCGGTTTACTGGAACTATATATAGCCACGTCGCTTTTATAATACTTTTTATATTGTTCATTAGTTCAACTGTGTTGTGAATTAAATATTTACCAAAATGAGAGATTTTATTGGGATATTCCGGCATAACTGACAGTTGTACACTGCTCTGTCTACTCATTGTTTTATACTTTTTTCATACGTTTATCGCTTTATACAGGTACAGTATTTTAGTATAATATAAAAATTTATACATAGAAATCAAACTTTTTATCTCTGATACATACCCCTTTAAAAGACATCTTAATGGTAACTTTATTTCATATTCACAAGAGATGCTCTTGATTCTTCAATCCACAAAAAGTTCGATCCAATGAGGCCGCGAAATAATGCAAAACACTGATAGAAATTAAGATGTTCGTACGTGGTTCGTACCTTCGTACTGACGCCATGTTACGCGGCCATCTTCCTAGCAAGTGTCATGGCGTGAGCATGACGTGTACATCTAGGGAAATTTGAGGACACGAATTCCTATTAAGTTACGCATCTGGTATATACTTCATCTGTGCCCAGAGTAAGGCCTACTGTTTCCATTGCTTTTTAGTCCTCAATACTTCAGTGAGTCATGCTTTGGAAATGACAATATTTTTTTATTACCCAACCCTTGAGTTGTTTTGTTTTTCATTTACCCAACCTTTTACTTACTCAAAATTTAGTTTACCCAACCCTTTTCTCTTCGGTGCCACCCCTCACCATAAATAATGACCGGTTCCTAATTCAATCATTGTCATTAGTGGCAATATTAAATCACATAGGAGAGACTATAATGGATAGTATCTATTTTCTGATTAAATGCAAAAGCCGCTGTTTTATTTTAAAAAATAGTACCGATTTCCAAAATCCAAATTCCAATTTACTGCCGTGTGCTATCGCTATATTTCTTTAATCTGATTGGAGAAATGCGTGCGCACACATCGTCATTCCTCGTTGCAATTGGACGAAATATTACAAACATGTCAATCACGTAATCTTGTATATAGTTGTTTTTTAATTTTGAGCCAAACAAAATTTCAACAACTGCCTCAAACAAAATCAAACAAGTTCAAAGCTGTTTTGATTTTTGAAGAGACTGTGGCAATGGGAACACAAGATCTAGAGCTTAAGAAATGAAGAATACATGACCAACCGATGGTTCACTGCAACGTTCTTCAATGTTGATATGAAATTCGTTACATAATTTCTTTCCAATTTCAAGTCAAATCTGCGAGCAAGGAAGACGCTTTTTAAAGCTTTGTGTTATTGTATGTACTATTTTGATGAAAAATATGCAAGTAGGTTGTCATATTTCGGTCGTACTTAAAGACCAATTAATTTTGAAAATTGTTTACGATAAGAACCTTTCTTTAATTTATCGTATTTTTTCGGCTGTTTTGCTAAAACTTATCTCGCAAGGTTGTTTATAAGTGTTTTTATGAAAGTCAACCGAAATATGGCAACCTGTTCGGCCTTTTTTTGCCCAAAATCGTTGATACACAAGCTTCATAAGGCGTTTCCCTCGGTTTCGGCAACAGATCTGTCGCAAGTTGTTGAAAACAGCATTGCTGCAGCTCTGTGTCAATAACTTGCGACAGGCCTGATGAAAACAGCATTAATGCTGCAGCTCTGTCACAACAACTTGCGACAGGCCTGTTGAAAACAGCATTGCTGCAGGTCTGTCACAACAGCTTGTAACAGACATAGATATCTTATATATATATAGTACACTAGATAAGGCATCTAATTATTCTGCAATTCAAAAATTGAAGCCGTGATTGCAGACTCAGGATTTTCCCATGAAATGAGAAAATTCGTAAGTTTTCTATTTCTTAAAAAGGGAACTTAAACATTAAGCTAAACCAATTCCAAATACATTTTTAAACTATTCAAATGATGAAAGTCATTGTTTGTTTTTTAAGCGTTTATAAGTGAGTGAGAACTACCATGCAACATGGCCGCAAACTATTCAAATGGGGGTAACCGCTGGAATATTCTTGGCTTCAATTTTACATAAAAGAGATGCGCTATCTATTGTATATAAGATATCTTTGGCATTACAATAGGGTGGACTTTCGTCTACACATGCGCGAAAAACGTAAGCGTGGAGTGCACGTGGGCGTGGGTTAATCGCGTGACTGAATTCTAGAAACGAACACCAAATTTACCAAAACTACTCGTGTTATGAAGTCGTTTTCTTGTTTCTTTAGTGTTTCTACGCTCAGACAAAACTCGTCGAAGTGTTCAAGATATTTCATTGCCAGTATAAACGCCGCTGTGTACTATTCCCGTGAATTATGATGCCCAACACACCGGATAACAAAATTTATCACTTTGTTCGGCTCTTCCAAGTACACTTTTAAGATACAAGGTCCGATCAAATCATGTGCTTCGAAGTATCTGCTCAAAACAGCTAGCTAGTAGTCCAACATAAATATCGCTACTCATCTTCTTCGTACGAAAACGTAAGTTTTCCTTTCGATTGCTTTGCTTTAAAAACAGTCATAAGGTTGTTGAAGAGTTAGTCTAAAACTTCAAACAACAAAAAACGCAGATGCTTTCAAAAACCAGTGAATCGCAATGCTGTAAACTTCAACATCCTTAGAAATTGTAATCCAAACATCGAAAAGCAAAATTCGCGGGAAAAAGCTCACGAGCCAGCACTATTTTTATGCAGCGTCGACGAAAGTCCACCCTGTTCGGGTAACAGACCTGTTGACAGGCCTTTGTGGACCTGTCAGAACAGACAGGTACGAGGCGAGTGAACACATGCAGATATCGGCTGTTGACAACAGGTTTTAACAGCTACAGTATCTGTTCCAGATCTGTTCCGACTTGCGCGAAGTTGGCTGTGATCTTTGTGATTGGATCTCTACGACAATTTAATATTAATGTGAAACACACCGCTGCTTAAACTAAGGTCATTTCAAAAGCTAGCTCGTAAAACCTAAAGAAATCTCTGAAAAATTTTTTTTTCCCAATTGTTTGAAATTTCGCTCAATAGCTAAAGAGTGTAACTAGGCGCCTCTTAAGGTGGCTCCCTACAGTTGTTAAAGCATGGGACTGGTAACGATAAACAATTCGCGCGTTGCGGGACAGGATCGCGTGGTGCGAAAAAATGTCGCGCGAGCGGGAACGGCGCGGGATTTTTAAATGCCGATATATAAAAATTTAAAAACAAACATGGCAGCGCGTTTTAAAAATCGTTCTTTGACGGGAAAATTTGAGAAAATACAAAAAAGAAATCGAGGTAATATTATAAAATTACAAGAGGGGCTTCAATCTTGGAAAAATGAAAATATTTCAAGCGAGGTTGAGGAAAACAAAGACGAAAACGAAGAGTTTGAACCAGCGACGGACATCGTGATAAATACAAGGGAAAGCACGGTAGGCAACGTAAACACCGAGACGTTTTTATCATTGTAAACATTTAGGTCTGTTTAAAAATTTATAATTCACGTACTCCATGATTTGGCATTAGGCAAAACAAGAAATAAAAGAGAATTTACCTCAAGGAAGCCGAATTGTTGACATAAACCAACTGAGAAAAGGATTGGAGAGTTGTCCATTTTGCAAAGAAGGTAAACAAAGGCAAATGTGAAGCATTTAATTTCTCCACTTCAAATACAGAATTATTTAGATTCAAAATTTTGATATAATTTGGTCACTATATAGTTATAAAATAAAGTACTGTTTTCAAAATGTACAAGTGTCAGTTGATTAAATTTGTATAAATATATTATAAGTTCTTTCTATGTTTGCATGAAGATAAAACATATAATAGTTTTGTTTCCACAAACAAAAATATATTATAATTATGAATTGATGTAAAGGTATGAAATAAACAATAAAAACAATGGCAATACTCTATTATTTTTAAGGACCACTGTCATTGAGCAATGTACAACAAGAAAAGTTATATGGTCTAGCTAGCAAGCTATATATTCAATGTCAGTTTTGCGGTCAAACCAATGTTGTTGAAACATCACTCGCCCACAAGTCTGGAGCCTCTGGTCCAATGGCATATGACATCAATACAAAGTCAGTTTTAGCCAGTCTTCATACCGGAATTGGTGAGACGCATTTGAATGGCATCTTGTCAGTTATGAACATCCCAACCATGACCCGGGCTTCATTCAAAACCCGTGAGCGAGAAGCTGGTAAAGCCGTTGAAGCAGTTGCAGGACACACATGTGTTGAAACTATAGAAATAGAGAAAGAACATGCAATTAAAATTGGTGAAACACCAGACGAGAATAATCTTGTTCCAATTTCATGCTCGTATGACATGGGTTGGCAGAAACGTGGCAAAGGTTTCAATTCAAACACAGGACAAGGAGCTGTAATGGGCTTACACACTGGAAAAATAATGGACTACACAACAAAGACAAAAACATGCAGAATTTGTGATCATGCAAAAAAAATGAACTCTACTCCCCGTAAACATGACTGCCGAAAAAATCATAGTGGTTCATCAAAAGCTATGGAGCCTACATCTGCAGTTCAGCTGTTTAATAACATAACGAAACACAATGCTAAGTACTCAACTTACACTGGGGATGATGACTCAACAACTGAAAGTTTTATACATGCACAAGTACCATATGGAGTTGAGAAATTTAGTGATATAATTCATATAAAAAGATCGTTAACTAGTAGATTACATAATCTGGCCAAAATGAAAAGATTTCCCGATTGCTCATCATTGTCAACAAAAGTAATCGACTATCTCGTGAAATGCTTTTCAGTTGCTGTCAACCAAAACAAGGGTGAACCAAAATCAATGCAAGCATCATTAAAATGCATAGTACCCCATGCATTTGGAATCCACACTGACTGCAGTGAGTCATGGTGTCGATGGAAACAGGAGCCAGCTATGTACAAGCATGCATATCTACCATATGGGAAAGACCTGCATGGCGAGGAATTGAAACTAGCCCTGAATGACATTTTCAGTCAATATCATTCTGACAACATGGTGGAAAAGCTTGCTCCAATCGCCAACTCTCAGAGAAATGAGTCTTTTAACAGCACAGTTGGTTCAAAGAATCCCAAGATTAGATTCTATGGTGGGAGCGAAAGCAATGACTTTCGTGTGGCATGCGCAGTGGCACAAACCAATGTTGGTTATGGGTACATTTGTAGAACACTGAATTCATTGGGGATTGAACCTGGTACTAACTGTGAGGCATATGTCAACGGAATGAAGAGAAAAAGAGATGGCGACAACAACAGAAAGAAATCATTGAAGTTCAAGAAGCGAAGGAATGAAATTCACACCAAACGAATACACGGCATACTATCAAGTGAAAAGAAGGAGGGCAAGACATACGAGACAAATATTGGCCTCACATTACCTACAGCTAGTACCAGTACCACTGCAAATGAAGAACTATTTTGCCCTGACCTACCAGCTGACACACTAGCTTCCTATGAAGTATTTGTCCCACCCTATACCCCCAGACCACAATGTTCTCCCATAGCATTCGACGACAATGCTGCAGTATTTTATAACATTGTTTTATTCGACACTGAAACAAATACGACAGGTAAACAAGCAGAATTATGCCAATTGGCAGCTATAAATCAGACAACTCTCGCGTCATTTTCCGAGTATGTTTTGCCAAATAAAAATATTGATAAATATGCATCCAGAGTAAACAACCTTTCGATAAAAACTGTAGACGGTAAGAGAGTACTATTTAAACAATCAAATCCTGTATTAGCACTAACCTGTGACGAAGTTTTATCTCGTTTCATCCACTACCTCGAGAATTCCATTCGCGAATGCCAGAAATTGACAGCACACAAGGTCTGTACAGTTCTTGTTGGGCACAATGCCAAGCGATTTGATGTCCCAGTCATACTTCATAACAGCAACAGCAATATTATTGCAAAATTTCAGTCTTTGGGCATTTTCTTTGGAGATAGTCTCTCGTTGTTCGAGTATTTAGTAAAAGAATCGATTCTGAAAGATCGAAATGGAGATAGCTGTGCTTTAAACCAGTCTGCTGTTTACAAGGCTTTGTTTGATCAAGGCTTCGATGCCCACGACGCGCTTGAAGATGTGAAAGCTCTACATCGTATTCTGTTCTCCTCGCCGTTAAACCTTTCGGAAAAAGATCTGATCACACATTGTCAAGCAATTCCATTTGACGAAGCTTACCAGGATAATCTGTATCTAGACCAACGACATCAACTTGTACAGACACTCAACACCAAACTGCATGGAACAATCAGCAAAGGCATGGTCGAGAAAATCGCCAGCAGTGGCTTGAGCTTCGCGAATTTACAAAGTCTGTTTGATAAGTTTGGCAGGAATGGACTGATTGGAGTTCTGTCTAACCCGCCGACAAACAATCGTGGATCCAAAAAGCCAAGAGTGACAAAATCGAAGCGAATTTTGCTTGCTATCGTGCAATACTTCGAACAAACCGCCAGCGAGCAGTAAAATGCGAAGAGATGGCGCGCGAGACCACCACGCAACACACACGGACATGCGCAAATGCCATTCTTGTCGAACTGAAATTTCTATTGGCCGCGTAAGTTTTTTGCATTTTTCCTATCGCTTAACTTTCATTTCCTTCGGTGAATTTTTTTAATTTTTTGTGTAGCTAACCTGAAAGTCGCGTTTTTTAATATTTCGAAATTTAAAAAAATTCTACAGAGCAGTTTTCTTGGAACAGAAATTTGTCAATCTATAAAAACCCTCTCCTACAACTTACCTTTATTTTTTGATATAATATTCCGTTTAGTATTCCAAACTTACTTGAAAGTTTTTAAAAAATTTCACCGAAGGAAATTTGATTAATTTCATGTTTTGCCTGATTTTTTGGGCATGACTACTATAGTTCACACGCTGCTGTTGCCATAGCAATGCGTGTGTGGTTTATGTTGAACTTATGGTTTGGACACATAATAGCTACATTATCAGTTTTTTCTCCAAAAAGAGCTAAATGTTTGACAAACATGAAGATATCTATCGCAATGAGAAGAATATATTTTTCTCCTTGTTTAAACTAGAACTGTAGGGAGCCACCTTAAACAGCTGGCCTCTGTAGCTCAATTGGTTAGAGCGCTGTTCCGGAATCGCAGGGCCATAGGTTCAATTCTTACCAGAGGACCATTCCGATTGTATATATATAGTGGATTGTAGATATCCCTGTTGTGGTCAACATTCCGGGTCAATGTTGGCGTGTTATATGTAGACTGCCTCGAGGAATGTAAGTTTATTAACGCAATTTCAACATCTTCTATAGTTATTCTCGTTTGAGTAGTGATGCCTATGCATATAATCGAAGCTGTCTTTTGTTACACCGGGTTTATGAAATAGTACAAAAGGAATTTAAATTTGTTTTCTGACTTCGTTTAAGGATTTATGGATCATGGGGAACGATTTGATAATTTATTTCACACAAATACACAGACAAAAACAGGGGAAGACGATATTGAATACAAAATAAGTTCATTGGATTGTCTCTGCCGTTTTTACCATCTTTCCATTTCCAGTGCCTTAGTCCAAAGTAACAATTGGGGCATGTTAGTTGACCATAGTTGTTTGCATGAGACAGTTGGTTCCACAAGATAACTGAAGGAATAACGTCGTTTATTATGTTCGAAGAAAAAGGGCTATCTTGTGGGCAAATGCGAATTTGCGTGTCATCTAGCTTTCTCTCGCAATTCTAAATGCATAACTTAGATAAAATTTAACCACGACGTTTCTATGGCACAAAAACACGGCGGATTCACACACCAGAAACACTGCAAACCTACACATAGGTCACACAGTCATCCTCATAGACGCTGACTACGTTCGTTTGTTTGAAACCAACGACAATAGCTAGCTAATCTAACGCTGCTATCCAAATATTTTCTGTTCGTTAACTACTTTGTAGTTTAGCAATATTTTCAGGTCTTTTAGTATCAGTGTTGTGTTAAAAGCTTCGAGCGCATGCAATTATATCTATTTGTAAATAAATTAACAGACCACAAGCTGGGATTTCGTTTATCGCAACAAAGCAACTAAACGTTTATACAAAAAATTTTATTTTGAATAGTACTATTTTCGCTTAAACGTCCCTTGCACCGCAATAGTACAATAGCTACAGATGATCACTAATTGTTTATACAGTATAATGCAGGTTGCGCCGTACACGGCGACTATACGCGCAACTTTGATTTTGATCTGGCGGCTTGAATGGCAAATGATCTAAATGATCCACGAAAAGCAAATGATATACAAAAAGCAAATGATCCAAATGATCCACAAAAAGCAAATAATCCAAATGATCCACAAAAAGCAAATGATCCAAATGATCTACAAAAAGCAAATGATCCAAATGATCTACAAAAAGCAAATGATGCCTTGGGCTGCTTGCAATCTTGCTATCAATATATATTTGGCAGTTGCAACAATCCAACATGGAATACTCTATCCGCTGGAAAATTTTAAAGAAATGTAACGCCTATTCAAACAAAACAAAACGTTGTAAATTATGCCTGCACGAAAAGTTTATTATAATTTACTATCCCAAATTAAGCTCTTTGAACTCAAGAAACGAACTAATATCCGCATGTAGGCACAGGAAAAAATTCCTGCTCTGCAGCCAATAGCTCAGGTTACATATATTTACGCTTTCCTAATGATGTCAAACATTTGTATAATAGCTCAAGTTACCTATGGGTTATAACATCATGTAAATACGCGATATTATCATTCACCTGAAGAGTGTGGCAAGCTTATAGTTTGCCATACGAAACAAATTTGTTGTGAATAAATGTTATAAAAACGAAGTAACTCAAGTTTGTCTTTTATTTGCTCTACTTTCGTATCGAGCCCACAAAAAGCAAATGATCCAATTGATCCACAAAAAGCAAATGATCCAAATGA